TACGCTATCATTTGAAATCTTTCCAGGAACTTTGTTTCGCAGACTAAAAAGTGCAGATATCCCAAGTCAGTATTACTTCACCGCACTTCGCAATGTTTCCCAGTATTCCTATCAAATGGATTCAAATTAATAAATATAATTCCAAACCTGCGCCACTCTTTGGCGCGCGTAACATTCATCTCTTGAGCAGCACCGCTCTCAGGTGCACAGATGAGAGCAAACTATGTACTAACGATTTCGACGCGCGCGCACTATCAACGTTATCATCAATATTCACCGGCGATGCTGTGTGTTTGTTTCAGGTGAGTGTTTCAGCCGGCAGAGCAGCGCAATCTGTCGGATGGGCGGCGGCGGCGGCGGCCGCGGGCGAGGCGGTGAGTGCGTCGGTTTCGCTAGCTTTGGCGAACTGTTCGCAAACTGTGTCGCTTTGCAGTGCGCCATTCCCATTCGAATATCAGAGGCTTCGATGTGGTGCTGGCGGTGGTTGTGTATTTCGTTCCATGTTAATAATGGTCTTTCCCTCGCCTGATGTAGCCTAGAGGAGAAGAGGAAGCGATGCTTGTGAAATTGATAAATACTCTGTCACTCGGAAAAGAACCGTCGGTGAACTAGCTGCCAACAGGACGGGTTCGTTTGGATTCTGCTTCATTCAATTCTTTTGCTTTCTTGCAAGACTTACATGCGTATTGTAATGACTAATGACACAAAAAATGTGAATTCGAAATTTTAAAACGAATGTCGGTACTTGACAAGCGTTTATTTGGATAATAACTTTTGAAAAGAGTATTTTATTTTGTAAATGTCTGCGTGCAAGTTTACTTTCTATACGTTTCTAGTTTTTTTCTGAATCTCGTATTATACCTTCAACTTCGTTTCGGAAATTTTGAATGTTGCGTATAACTGAGGAGAAATTCTGGATCGAAAGACAATTACTAGACTTTCGTCAAACTGATTCTAGTTTTTTTCTTAACTTTCTAAGGTCTTAAATAACACTTATTTTCTGCTGACATGAAGATATTTTTAGACCATAAGTAACTTTTAATTTTTTTTTTGTTTTAAAACATACGTATTAAAATATTTTAAAGTAGAGAAATGTTTTCATTATTGCGTTCGATATTTTTCGCAGAGTTCTTTGAGTGATTGATTGTTTGTGTACCTTCATCTTTTAGTGGAGGTTTTTGTGTCTTTTTGCATTACAGTAGTATTTGTAACGGCACCTCAAAAGAGATTACTTTCACAACTCTTAACATTTTGATTGCATCCGTAAAGGAATTGCAATACAAATTATTCAAGCTTCTGGGCAAAATTGTCAGATTTCTATGATGAAATGATGAGCGTACAATTTGTTGACGAAATACATTGAAATTAAATGAGTAATTGATGTATTCATCATTTCAAGGTAATGACTACTATAACAATATTTACTGAGGTAATATGATGTTGAATAATTACTGTCTCCTCTAGGGATGTGAATTTGATCGAGTCTATTTCCTGGTATTATCAGTGTGCATTACATTTCTATCATCTATTAACATTGGTGACTATCGTTGTTTTAGCAACTAATATCTTCATTTTCTTCTTCTTAAACAAGCAATTATCCAGTTGAAAATTTACAGAAGCTGCAATTCTTGTGTTTGAAGTATACTTCTCAATACTAGGTCTCTGAATTATATTTGTTTAGTTCAGTGAGATAGAGTTAGTTCAGAATAATTTATCATCAGCTAGCTTAGAATACTAGATCATCTCCATTTTCGCTATTCAGAGTAACTAGACGTTTGACTGAATTATTGTCAATTACACCGTTCCACAATATTAAATGATTTCTTTTAGTTGCTAGATGTTAAATAATTTCATATTTTGTTGCAGGCATACTTATAGTTCAGGGATGGCTGTGCTTTTCTGGTTGGTAGAAAGTAATTCCGTTTACATGTAGACCACTGAATATAAATAAAGTACGTAGTGCGGGCGGTGTCTACGACAGGCGCATGGCTTGGGCATACCCTAGAAGCAAAGCGTATGAAAATTGTAATGCTTTTCAGGTCAGGTCGAGAGACAAACACATTTTGTGTTTGATTTATTGCATTTATTAGTGTATTTAATTATTCTGATTTCCGGCATTCGTACTTCAAGGATTTTAAGAAACAAAACGTGTTTGCTTGCCCATCTTTCTTCAAAATCCTAAACAGAAATTCAATTTGCTTTAAATATTCAAGTAAGATGATATCATTACACCCCATCTGACACATGAACAAATCAGCTCAGTTTTGAAACCATTGTTCGTGATTATTACGTGTTCAGCAAATAAATTGTTTTGAGATTGATTCACTAGTGAAAAAAAGAATTGTAAGAACTAAGAAGATTTTCTTTCCGGTAAGAAGAAGTGCATTTATTCTTTGTAGGCAGAAATTCAATTAGTATAGGCACGAGTAGCACTATAGGAAAACTGTAATTATGCAACTTTGAAATAATATTTTCTTGAAATAGTCAATTTAATGACAGTGAGCTGTCCTACGACATTCAGGTTTGTATGCTTGTACCTGAATTGCGGTTGAATTTATGTAAATTTATTTTCTTTTTCAAATTTACATTTTCTATGCCGCAAAATATCCCTTTTTCCGTTTCATATGAGGCAAACTTTTCGTTCTTCCATCTCCTGAATGTAAAATCGTCACAGACACACCGACAGCTACCGCTAGTCGACATTCCGACCGCTGTTTGCAGCGTGTATTTGACCGATATGATCATTCATTCTTTTTTTATTTATTTTCCTTTGGATAAGACAGTACAAAGATCAGTGTTTAATACACACTACATTTGTTACAGTAGCTTATATCTACTTATAATTAACTTACAATAATCTTACTAATAATCTTAAAGTACATCTTACATTACTACTATGGTGGTAGAGGTATCTTTATGTACTATCTCTTCTTTGGTTCGATTTCTGAGAATGTATTTAGGACTGTATGGAAAGGAAATTTATTCATGATGCCGGTTCTGTGTATTGGATTTTGGCGGAGTTAGAGCGGGCTTAGGTTGGGTATGTTTGGGATGTTCTGAAAGAAGCGGGCGGATACAAAAATAATGTGTTTGGTTATCGGTTGTAGCTGGAATTCTTTATGGAGTTGAGCGTTGGAGACGTACCCTGGTTCATTCGCGATGGTGCTGGTTCATTCTTTTACACGTAGTCCGGGGCCGGTGCATCCAGAGCGTCTTCGGCCTGCGCTCACGAGAACGTTATTAAACGCAGCTTCAGCGCGCCAACCGCAGCCGTCTCCCTCGAGGCCGCTTCTGAGGCTACCGGCAGCGGCGCTGGCTGAGGGCGGGGGCGGGGCGGGGACGCGGGCGAGGGGAAACATCGCCTCCCCGCCCCGCCCAGGCTGAATTAGGCCCCCGCCCAACTCAACTGCGTATTCATCCCCCTTCTTCATTTTCGGCGATAGGAATGCCCGGCGCCGCCGCCGCTTTTGATGTGTCTGGAAAGTTAGTTGTCGACGCTATGCTAAGAAGTCCTCATCGCCGGCCGGCCGGGCGGCGGCGGCGGCGGCAGAGGCGGCGTCTTCCTCTCGCTAGCCGCCTCGCCGCGCTGCCGCCTCTCGCGGCGGTGGTAGTAAAAAGAAAACGGGGGAGCCCGCGGAAAGGAAGAACGAAAGAACGAGGCTCTTTTGTGAAGCCGCCTCTTCGCCGGCTTCCTCGGCGGCGCTGCTGCGCGCTGCTGCGCGGCGCGGCGCGGCGCTGTGTGGCTGTCACGAGATGGACCCTGCCGGGAATGCGTGGGCCCCGCCCCGAGCCGCGCCGCGCCGCGCTCCTGCCCCGCTGGCTGCGAGCGAACGCTGCTCGCAGGGCACGTGAATACCCCGCGTTTGGCCGGACTTGTTAAAGGCGGTGGGGCATTGCTAATAACGTTTTATACGCCTCGTTTATGAAGCAAATGTCGTTATTAGTTACGTATTGTGTCGTTACTTATAGTCGTAAGTCGTCACAATGTAGGTTTTTGTGATGGGAGCCTATAAGTACGGTTTAAGTGAAGTAAAATTATAGGAAAATAGCAATACTTATATCAGAACGTATTGAAAGTTAGTGATTGATTATAACTTTAGAAATCATATCAAAGTTAGGAAGTACATCATTTTTTTTTTCAAATACAGATGTTCAGAAATTATCTTAAATTGAATATTTGTTTCTTCAGATGGAAAATCAAAATTAAACGACCCCCACATTGTCACAAATGTTTTCAATGCAAAACGTTTACGGAATTGCGAATTGATTTAGTTTCAGAACATAGTTAAAACGATAAATGCAAAATGACGGAGCACTGTTGGAATAGCGTTCTTCCGCCCTCAGCGTAGAAACGAGTGCACGCTGCTCAGGGCCCGAAGCTGAATTGAATCGCAATGAAACTGGAGGAGCGCCACAGTCAGTTAAACGAGTTGTGTCCAACTGATGTCGTCTACACCTCTAAGAGGCGGGTATTTTATTTGGAAAATGTACTTGATTTTTGTGTCTCGATGAAAAATATAATTTTGTGTTTGCGTAATTTTTTTGAGATCCCTCGACAATTTCACACGAATCATAAACGTTTTGAAAATGTCCTTTACTTTTAAAGTTCATTCGTTATTAAAATGCATGGAAATTTAACAAGCTAAAATGTAATATGCACGAAGTTGACTAGTAAAACAATCTAGCAATCTAGAAATACGTTGTATGCGTAAGAAAATTACGCATGGACGAAATTTTCCTAGTTAGTCAAATCAGCCCGAACTCTGTTCTCCAATTCTTACCGGTCATTCTGCTGAAAGGGTCCTGTGGCACTGGCACCACTGGAATTTCGGGGCTTTTATCCGTGAGCGGGAGTGCCCCTTCCTGGTAACCCAGTCCGGTCCAGCCCGGCCCGGCCCGGCTTGGCCCGGCGTGGCCCAGCCTGGCCCGGCCCGGCCCGTCCCTCCGCCGCCCCTTTCTGCGGGCCCTTAAAACTTGATCGGGGGCTGTTTGGGGCAGACTGCGGTCCCCGTTGTGTCCGGCCGGGGCGGTTTGAGGCCCAAACTTTGGGGGTCGCGACGGTGAGCGACCGTTGGGCGGCGCGGGAGGGTCCAAGGCCCTCGCGCTTCAGTCATCTGCGGGCGGGCGACTGTCCCGGCGGGCGACGCGCCGCCGCGCGCCCCGACGCCCACGCACCGCCCACGCACCGGACTCTTCGGCCGCGAAGACCCTCCTTCGCGGCGAGATGGGATCCTGACAGGTACGGTGTAAAACGGCAGTTAGAATCTCTTTGTAACGAAATACTCCTCAGAGAGTAGACATTACGTCAGTTAGCTTCATTTCCTACATTGGTGTATACTACACTCTAACTTTTTTTTTAATTCTAAAATGAAAAGTTTTTCAATGTTTCGATGTAAGTAAAGATTTATTGTCGATTTTCAAAAAGCTCCGATAATTCTTAGTTGAAGTGCCGAAATTTCTAACAATTTTATTTTCTTTGTTGATCGTTCCTCTTGTTCACCATTAGTTGTTTGCCAAATTCTTATTATTGTTCTAAGAAGGTAACCATATCAAAAAACATAAGACAAAATGTTTGGCAAAGTAAAAGACTTCGGCAAAGAAAACAATCCACATTTAGAATAATTGTGTATGATTTAGAAGATAAAGTTTGCTAATGTATTTGTTACAATTATTAAACAAATATGTATTTCTGAAAGGAATAGGGCGTCATCATTGGGCTCGTTATTTACATCACAAAGATTCTGACTTCTTTTCAAACCAGATAGATTAGGTATATTTTTGAGTAATGTATTTTACTTTTAGTTTCGATTCTTGTTGAGGATTGTAAAAGACGTTTTTGGAAGTAAACATGTTAAAAGGTTGGTCACATCATTTGAACATGTTTACATCAATATCAAATAAAGTACTGAAAAATAGTATTAGGACTGAAATTTTGGAATTTTAATAGTGAAAATGTTATTGCAAATCATATTTGTGAAATGTTGATGGTTTTCTTCTTTCCATACAACGAAAACTTTTCTTAACAAAGTACTCTACCCCTTGACTTCATTACAAAGGGGTATCACTTCATTACAGGAGTATCACTGTAACCACGCAAAAAAAGAAAATTTGCTCACGACTTAATTGGTCTTCGGATGTTCGGGAGGAATTCTATTGTAATCTTTAGTAATTGTAACTCTTGAGAATTAGATTTCTGTTGATTCGCTATTTAAAGAATTGCAGCTGTGTCAGCTTATTGACGAATCACGTATTTCTATTCAGTGGCATGCTAAAAATTCGAAGAAAGAACTCTATATGTATTTAAGTATTTATCGCCAAAAATTGTAAAAACTATGTAATATACGGGGTATAAGTGCAATCTAAGCGTGTTAAGAATGAAGTTAGTCACAAGGAGTTGGTAAAATTAGAAGACTAAAACTCTTCGCTATAACTTATGCGATATTCGAGTAAAATGTATTAAATGTGAAAATGATTATAGTATTCTAATCGGCGATTCATTATATTTGATATTTGTCTCCATTACTTGAGCCCTGTTAATTACGACGTTAAACGTTTATCGTATTAATTATTTCGCGACAACGTTCGCTTAACCATTTTACTGGTGTTGAATGTAGAGTAATCCTCCGTTAAGTTTGTCATCGACAGTTGTAGTCAGTCTTTCATCGTCTTTTATCCCGTCGCCCTGGGCATCAACACCGGTTGATCCCCTGGGTTCCCTGATGGTCACCCATCCAGGAACCCGCGGTGTCTCGAGTTGATAATACGTAACTTCACAAAACGCTTTTAAGAAATTTCGGCTACCGACACGGATTTGATATGGATTAGATGTCAGAAGATCAACCACAGAAGATGCCGTCGTCTTCAGATTCGAGTTCGATGTGCGTCCAGCTGATCGTTTGAGAATATTGGAATTGGAAGACTAAAATAATGTTGGCAGGAATTTCTAATTGACATTAATTTCTATACAATTTTCGATTATAAAATTTGCAAATTGCAAAGGTTGGTGAATCATTTCCAAGCACATCCCTCTGAATTGGGAGAAACACCACTTACTCAATTAGAGTAAGTATATTGATTTCAATTTTTGAAATCATTGTTAGTTGAATTGATTTGTCGAAAATTTCAATGCTGGAATGAAAGTAGAGTATTTGACTATATTTTTTAATCCTAACTTGCAACCGAATGTATGAAATTTCAATGTAAATGAAACTGAATAGTATAGTTATTTGGACAAAAATTGTAACAGTCTTTCAGCTTTTATATAAAGGTTATTTTATGGACACATATCATCGTTCTTATTGATTAGATTCATTAAACCCATCAGTTTCTCAAGACAGACTCAAAACTTAGAGAAAACATCTAAAAGTAGATGAGAAAATAATAAATTGATAAGTAATCTTCACATGTTGGTGAAGAGGAAAGTGTGTTCGGTTAAAGAAGTGTAAAGTTATACATGTGCTGAAATGGCTTTGACGTATCTGATAGATCAACCCGTCACTCTAATTATTTATTTTGCCGAATATTTCCTCAGAGAGGAATCAAATGTGTATCGAGAGTTTATCTGTATCGAAAGCTGATTGGTTTTCTATCTACGCCGAGGATTTAGATTATTAAAATTGCGCTCTGTTTGTTTGAAAAGTAACATTTCATTCCTGCATAACTATAAACGTAATTTCTAATAGTAATTGAGAATTTTATTTCCGATGTGATAGAAGAACCCTCCAAAAATTACAGTTGTTTGCTTTCTCCGATAAGTGGCTGACTGAGCCATTTCCTCTGCGCACGGAAATAAAAACATTTTTATTATGAACCTTTTTTGACAACTCCGAAGTGTCAATGTAGATATGCGTTGACTGCCGCTACCTTTCATGCGCATTTCAACACGAGATGGATGCCAGCTGTGCTTACATGTGTAGACACCCACACACAACGCACTATGTCGGCAACCTTTCAACATTATTATTTACATTCATAGTTGTGTAAACTAACGTAGAGCCGTATTCTTACTTCAGTGCGCTTATTAGATGTGTGAAATTGCTCTTTAGTGTATTGAAATTGTTTATTAATTTTTCTTAGTTTATACTACAATTAAGATACTTAAATACGGCCTTTTTATTCTGAAAATGGTAGTCCACTAATTCAAATGGGAAGAGATGTTAATAATGTTTTAGTGAATAAAGGTTATGGAGATTTAGACAGTGTCCAATGGCAATTTTTTTTATAATGTTATCTCAATTATGCGATTAATCTTTATTTGAGAAAATCTATTTTTAATTTTCCCTTGAAGATCCAATGAGAATCAAGAATTAAATTAAACACTGCAAAAATTTTTGTTTTGGTTCACCTGTCACCAATCTTAGAAAGGAGCCGAAACAAACCTATAAGTATTTACATAGGGACAGCAATTCGATCTAATCAGCATTCATTACTTTAAACTTTAATCTTATCTAATGTATGTTTGATCCTTAGATTTAGGTCTCGAATGAAACTTGTAAATTAATTGAATTTTATTTTACGAAAACATTAATTATGACAATAGGTATATGTGCGATGTCAAATGTGATTAATTTTTCGATAGAGAACCAGGCATTTATTAGTCTCTTTTGCGTCTACGATATTTAAAACAGGATATATTAATACATTGCTTAAATATTCTATTTTTTAAATTCAAAGAAGTTATCATGTATTTAATTTTTAGTTCATTAAGTGTTTGAGTTGCGGAATGGTGTATGCACCTATTACATTTCGAATGAGAAGAGGGTGACAGTAGACACTGATGTTTGAATAGGAAACTGGTTGCCATTTCACTGTTAATGAATATACGATATATTTTTAAAAAGTATTGCCGATCTTTTACTGAGATGCAATAAATATGGTGTAGGAATCTATAAAGGGACCGGTCAGAATGTATTAGTTAACTGGAAGTGTTTTTTCAAGTATTTATGATCATTCAGTATGTTTTTTATATTAATTATCTTCAAAAAGATAACGCGTTCTATTAATAAACATCCCACAAAGGTATTGCTCACTGTGGTCTATAGTTTATTATAAATAGTATTCTCTTTCTTTGATAACAAATCGGATCCTAACAATTGCATCTTCTACTGGAATTGACAAGCTAAAACATCGAAAACGAAATGAATTAGGAAATAGGAATAAGTAAAACAAAAGAATTTTATATTGTAATATTTTAATAACTTAATTATTATACATTATTCAATGAAGGTAAAAATATGATCAGGAAAGACAGAAGGATAAATGAAGTCTTTCTGTAACGTTTCGTAATTTCTTATAAATAACGAGGATATGTTGGGACCTCATATAGCATTTCTGTTGTGTTTAAAGACATCCTTTGAGAATATAAGTCGTATTTTTGCGTACATTTCAACACAATTTAGGAACACTTAATTCAATAACTGATCATTTTCATTAGTATTTTTTTAATAAACATTTACAGATCCTTCATATAATGAAATTCGTAACAATATGTAATACATTCTGCAGTTCTACGCGTTTAAAAGTATTCCTGTAATTTAATGTCTAAATCAAAATTTAATTACTCGGATACTTTTCTTTATTTTGCTCATAATTTGAAATGGACAGGCTTGACATAATAATGGCTTTACATAATTCAGGCTTTACATAATAATGTTATTTCTAAATTTCTTATAAGCCAGAGGTATTGTATGGGAAATTTCGGCTTAAGGTGCATGACTTCTTCTATCGGCATTGATGCTATCATTGTAGAACATTTGTATGATTACTTTAGATCATAAACTGCATGTTGAAACCTAAATACAATTTTTGTACGAAAAGCATAAAAAACCTTGTGCTTAGTTTTGATAAATAAATAGAGATATTGTCAGGTATTAATATTTTGATTCAACTAATGATCATTTCGATCGCGTAGCGATCATCCTCAGAGCTAAAAACAATACAGGATGATCGCTACGCGATCGAAATGATCATTAGTTGAATCAAAATATTGATACCTGACAATATCTCTATTTATTTATCAAAATAAAAAAAGGTATCTACTTCACCAACAATCCAATTAACTTGTGCTTAGTGTTTTTCTACTGTGTATTTAATTATCTTTGTTCGAATAGGATTCCGTTCCACGCAAAAAGATGTATTAATGACATGAGAAGAGCAACATGTTTATCGCTGTGATACCGGAAGGAACAATTGGGATTTTGGTGCTTAAAACATTGCAGATGTGAATTCGACCGCACGTTTGGTGGACAACTTTGAAAAGGAATCATAAAGAATGAAGCAACTGATATTTTAGCAACTTCGAGGTGACACGATAGGGTAAGCATTTTCAATACTCAGAAAAAATCCGAATTAATTAGTTTCGTGTCTGATTTATCGCATTTAACGACGTGACGTGCTGTTAAGTCTAACAAAATACCCATTCTTTTGTTTTATCAGGTTTCTTCTCCGCCGTAAGAAGGATATTAAAGAGAAATTCCTCACAAATTGTGATAGTGCACATGAAATATTACTGAAAAAACTATTAAATAGATAAAAATATATCATTACATTAAATAAGTTTAATAAAATGTTTGTTAATAATTTTGTAATAAATTAATGATATTAAAAGAAAAAAGTATTATTAGATTCATTGTCATTTACGAAATAAATCTCATCATAATAGTGAAGAATAATATTATTTGTAGAAATGTGAATAATTTCTAGGAAAAGTACCTTGTACAAATATAACGAAATTATTAACTAGCAGCGTAATAATTATTATTAATGACTGATTAAAATAGTCATGCTAGAAAGTAGCGTCTCGAGCGATGGGGGAAAATGAAATTTGGGCCCTTGCCCACATGCTCATTAGCGAAGTGTCTTGGGGACGTGATGGAAGCGAGCGCTCCAGTGGTCCGCTGAGACGAAGGAGCACTGACCTGGCGCCAGCTCCGCGCCGCGTGATAACTCAAAATTCGACGCAGGAGGCGGCGGCGGCGGCGGCAGCGGGCGCGGCGCCCCGTCCCGGCCCGGTCCGGCCAGCGCCAGGAGCCGCGCCAAAGTGACGGATTCGCCCATAAACGGAGCGGCCCCCGAGATTGTGCTTCATACGAAACATCGCCCATCCACCCATAAATCCACCAAAGCTATAATTGTCTGCCATTTAAATAATACACCATTAATAATAAATTACTGACCCGGCGAAGGAGCTCGCGGCGGGAGGCGGTGCACGGAGCGGTAGCCCGGTGGACGGCGAGCGCCGCACGCCGCCGCACGCCGCCGCCGCCCCGCGCCGCCCAGGTCCGCGGGGCAGGCCACGCCGCCAGGAGACGTCTTGCGCCGCGAGGCGAAACGAGACGAGGCGAAGCGAAGCGTCGGCGGCGCGCAGCAGCCGGCCGGCGGTGCTGGCTTTCTCCGGCGACTTGCCTCGCGCGCGCCGCGCCGCACCGCTCCGCACCGCGCCTCCTTCGGCTCGCCTCGGAGGGCGCCGCCTCCTCCGCCTGAGCCTTCTCCTTCTCTTCGCTCCTTCCACCGACTCCGCCTCCTACGACCCGCCGCCGCCCGCCGCCGCCTTTCCTATCGCCCCGACCCTTCCCCTCGCACCCCCGCCCGCCCGGGCTGTCTGTATACTTTATTTTGATGAAAGTTTTACGGCCTTGCTATTCTAGTTTCTGGCCCCTGCCATGTGTTTAACAATCTAGGCGCCCGTCTACGTCGCCCGCACGCCGTCGCGCGCTCTCCGTCGCGCCGGCACGCGCCGCCCCTCCACGCGGCCTCTGTTTTTATGTCTATCCCAGTATGGCCCATCACTTCTCATTTAGCGAGCGCGCCAGCCGCCGCCGCCGCCGCCGCTTCCCCTCCGCGCCCGGCGCCGCCCTCCCTCCCCACAGCGCCCGCCCGCGCCGCCCGGGCCGGCACCGCCCCCGCGCCGCCGCGGCAGGTGAAGAGCGGGCCGTAGTACACAGTTCCCTTCTCCTCTTCCTCCTCCGCCATCGCACGGCCCGAGCGCGCCCGAGCGCCGGCGGAGGCGCCCGAAACCGGTTTATGGTCGCGCTAAGTCGCGCTCGGCGTTTGCCCAAATGCTGGCGCTGCCTTTACAAATGTTGTTCAGGACATCTCCAACGTTCAGGCTGTAGAACCCGCCAAGTGCAATGCCGTTCCCGTTGCAAAATGCAGCGAGTCGCGGCGGCGGCGGTGGCGTGGCGTTGCGATCGGCACAGTGCTAGGCACCGACCGGGGGCCGCGTAGGAGCGCCGGGGCCTGTTGTCACGCAGGCCGCGCCGCACTGTCACTGGCCGCGCGCGTGCAGGCGCGACAGCGCACCACGCCGCCGGGCTGCGCCGCCGGCCCATACAGCTCACCGCGTCCAGAACGGAACAGAAAAGACTCGAACCCAGGGCTGGCCGTGTCGCCACACGGACTGACCGCCTTGTCGCGAAACGCCGCCCGGCCCAGCCGCTGTGAGCAGCACCGCGCGCAGTCAGACCCGTAGACGGCCCCGCCGCTGCCGACCCCGGGCGTCGAGCCGCGGACCCCGGTCGCCCAGCTGCGCGAGTCGCCTGCCCGAGCACGCCCCGGCGGCTGACGCCGTCACCGGCACTCTGGAGACCAACCCCGCGCCATGGACCGCTGACGCTCCGACGCTGGAGTTCTGCTTCGTGACAGGTAACGCGGACGTGACGGCCCGTCGCGAAGGCAAGCGTCTGTCCCGCGCCGGGCTCGAACCCAGTGCCTGTGCGTCGCGCGCTTTGCTACAGTGTTGTGTCGTTTGCCGTCCTCGTTGCCTTGCGTGTGTTGTCACTTCCCGGATTTGAATGTTGTTCGTATTTCTGTATTGCGAGTGATGTGTCCATTGATTGTTTCTGTGATGTGAATGTGTAAACACATGTCGCTGGTGTGAAGATTCATCTCCACGGTCACCATCTACCCCCTGCTCAATGAAACACCATTGCATCACCTCTGCTCGAATTTTCACCATCCTTTTCTTTCGTGTTCGCATCTACGAAATCTTAGAACCGACGTCTTAATTGCACCTGACAGTCGCCACCTGTCAGTTGGCAAAAGCGCCAACATCGCCACCCCACCCCTACGGTCAACTGGAGTACCCGCAGTTACACCCAAACAAGGCTCGCCTCTTCAAAACCGCGCCGAAGGTGTGGGAGTGGGCGACCGGCACAAAAGCCGCAACTTGGGCTGTAGCGAGGAGCGTGCCCTCCGTTCCGCGCGTTACAAAGACAATGCGAGGGCCAGCCTAGCCCATCCGGGTCCGGGTCGTGGGCCTGTCCGGGCGTGGGGCGAGTAGGGCCAGCTAGCCACGCGCCCGCCACAGCTGCCCGAGCAAGCGCTCCGCGGGCGAGGCACGGGCGGCGCGCAGCGTCGGGTCCCGGCGAACGGCAGCTCGTTGCCCCGGGACCCGTTCTGCGCGCGCCCGGCTTGCCAGGGCCCGCCTCGGCCTGCACCGGCGTCCGTCAGCTGTCGCCGCGCTGCTTACGTCTCCCTTGAAGCGATGCTCCGGGAGAGAATTCTCGCGGTGTATTACCCGATTTAAATAGCGACTTTTGACATATCACCTGCTGGATGCGGGTATCCAATCAGGCGCTTCGTCAAGACTTTAATTTTTCAAATTGATGATCCCAATTGGATATTGGCGTCGCAGCTGTTAATCTGACACAAGTCACTACATTTAAATCAGACAATAAATGTTGAGAGGATCGTAAGAAAGTTTATTCATTGGTGTCTAGCATTGGTTTTGTCATATTCGCACTGCTTCTTTCGCAAATTGTTGCAATTATGCTTTTCTTGAGAACATTGTCAGTTCTGTACCGGTTTTCAGAGAACGGATCCTGAGCAATGTCTTGGGTAAGTTTTCTGCCAAGTCGACTTTGGAGCTGCTAACAATGAAGCCTAGTCCATTCCCAACTAGCGAGTTAATTTTATGGATATATAAAACATTTATTGCATTATTATTGTTATAAATATTTAATATCAATTTTCACGTTCAAATATTTATTTGGAAATGAATTGAAATTAGTAACTTTAACGTTTTTTGGGTTGAACAGAAGAATTCGTTCTACTCTCCCTGCAGATGAATCATTGAAAGACTGGGAGGTCAGACGCTTGTGATGAATTAAAACACTTCAATACACACGATAATCACTGTGGTTAAATGAGTTACGTTTTGAGTAGCTCGATTCAAGATTTTCTGGTAGTGACAAACCTGTGGATTACCGAATTCCTCTGATATGTTTTAATCAATAGATAATAGAATATTTCGTAATTTATCTTTCCTTTTACCAATCCTTTTTAAAATAATAATAATAATAATAATAATAATAATAATAATAATAATAATAATAATAATAATAATAAATAATTTGGGGTCTGTTTTTTTATTGAATGCCTTTGCATCAATGTGTCAGATTTTAGGTTCAGCGTTCGCATGAAACGCAGTGTTGACTGCGAGTTATGAAGGTGGTTATTTGATTCCGTGATATAGCACAACGATACAAAAATTAGAAATTGTAAATTATATCTGGGTCACAGGTACAGTTTGAATTACTCTCAATTCTATTTACTTTTTGCATGATTACCGAGTCATCTTTGTGATGCGGGCGAACTCCATTATATTAACTTGAACATACGTACTTTAATGTTTACATTTACCACTGTTAACAATTAATGATCAAAATGTATTTTGCAGTCACACTAGTATTTATAGTCTTACTACGTATTAAAAAGATAATAAACGTGTATTGAAGTACATAATTCTTAAAAGGATATCATATAGTATTCCGAAATTGAGAGTATGAATGGGGTGGCTGGGTGTAAATCGAAATTCGTGTTCTGCAGTTCTTTGAAAATAATACATTGCGCGTTCTGTATAGGAATGTGACAGGTATTCATATTAGTGATACTGCTGACATTTTGCTTGATGAGTACAAGTAATCGTTGAGTGTTCACAAAAAAGTGCTACGAATATCTACATTATGTTTTGTTTTTGTTTTTGTTTTGTTTTTTTTTTTACTTGAAGTAACTTAAGAAAATGTGTTTTTTCTATGGACTTTGCATCATGCACCTATTGACTATTGCATCATGTAGTGATAAGTTCTTTAACTTTGGATTCTCAAAAAGTTACGAGAACATTACAACAGAACCCTCAAGAAAAACGAGTGACGTTTGCGAAACCCAATGCATAAATCATCCTGCAAGAATATGTAATGATGTGAATTACAAGGAAAGTCAGACTTTGGACTCAAAAAAAATTTAAGTCAGTACTAAAAAAATGAACACATTAAAACATAAAAATATTTCTTTATATTTGTTCAACTACAGAACGTTTTCAACGAAACGAGATTAACATCTCCAAAGTGGCCTAATAAGGTAAAGTAAATTAATATTACTTTTTATTGGATTTCAGGTCGAAAGTAGGTGAATTTTTCTGTAATAGAAATGAAAGTTGATATGTGTGTCGATGTACAAATGAAAAACAAGGTGTCAAGTGCAGATTTGATATTTACTTATTTATTTCTTATGTCTTTAATTGAGTTTGAGCTCGAAATATTTTATCTATTTGCGGAAATGATGAGCGAAGAGTGATTATAT